AGTAGAGACGGGGTTTCACCATGTTGACCAGGATGGTCTCGATCTCTTGACCTCGTGATCCACCCGCCTCGGCCTCCCAAAGTGCTGGGATTACAGGCTTGAGCCACCGCACCCGGCGTGTTTTGTTTTTTAATACATAATTAAACAAGTCCATGTTTTTGTTTTTAGAAAAATGGGAGAAAAAGATCTTTAAAAGATGCTTTAGAACCATTCAATATCATTAGTGTTACTTTTGACTAAAGGGGACAAAGCAGCACCTTAAACTGATATTCCAGTTATACTTCCCCACTACACCCCCTCCTCCACACAGCACTCACTGTTACACTGGTCACAAGCGTAGATTCTCCCTTCCAGGGCCTCTGTCTCTGTGAACTTGGCCAGCATCTCAGTGAGCAAGCACTCTGTCTGATTAAAAGGGACAAACCCCTTTTCTATGCAGTGATAGCGTTCAGGGAATTCCAGGGACAGGTCCCAAAAGGGCTCAATGGTATTGGATTTGTAATTGCATGATATACATGTGACCTAGAATGAAAAGATTGATTTACAGATTATAGAATTTCCATGCTTCCTGCATACAGCTTTACTTACTTCATAAAAGACACACTTTATCAAAAACTAAGTATATAATTTGCAAAAAACAGTAATATTAAAATAGTAAACATAACTTTAAAAGAATTAGAGTATATTACTTCTGATGTACATTTCTAACTATGGGATGCTAGCTGGAATTTAAAAACCATACTGCATAGAGATTATACCAACCCCTCTTTTCTATTCTCCTCTCCCAAGTATGCTCTACCATTCAACAGTACAGCAGTACAGACCGCAAGTTATTGTGCATTCATTCAAGGGATCAGTCTAATATAGAGAATTTGCAGGTCCCTGCCTGCTTCCCCCACTCTGGCATTCCTCCTCTTGACTTTAGACCTTCTATGCAGCCCAGCATGGCTCTCTTTTTGCCTTTGTTTCTTGCAGAAGCCCTACACTGAACCCCTCTGTCTGCAGAGCCTCAAAGTGCTGTGATTAGACCTTCACTCCCACTATAGCCTTCCCAGGTGCACCTTTCTTCCTGAGGGGAGGGGAGACAGAAGAAGTGCTGATAAATACTCCCCTTTTACATGCTCAAAAACAAAAGCCTAATTAAGCTTTCCCTTTCCATCCCATTCATCATTCTTTCAAAACCCTAAAAACCAAGACACAAGCATAGGGTAGAGGTTTTAACCTGATTCTCTTAAGTTGCCCACCAACCATTACCCCGCCCCCTCCCCCCCCACCTTTTTTTTTTGAGACAGAGTCCTCCTCTGTCACCCAGGCTGGAGTGCAGTGGTGCAATCTCAGCTCACTGCAACCTCCGCCTCCTGAGTACAAGTGATTTTCCTGTCTCAGCCTCCCAAGTACCTGGGATTACAGGCATGTGCCACCACGCCCGGCTAATTTTGTATTTTTAGTAGAGACAGGGCTTTACCATGTTGGTCAGGCTGGTCTCTTAACTCCTGACATCAGGTGATCCACCCACCTTGGCCTCCTGAAGCACTGGGATTACAGGCGTGAGCCACCGTGCCCGGCACACCTGCCTTTTTTAACTATAAAAATACTCTTTCTGCATATTCCCTCAAGGCCTTATCTAAGAATCTTTGCCTAGGTTATATGGCTAAAAATCCAGGAGATAAAAAGCAATAGGGAACAGGAAGGAGGCTTGCATTGGCCTTTACCACGCTCTCAGCTACCATCCTTCCTTGTATGTAAAGAAGGGAGATTACTCTTTCAAACTATTATGGAACCAGGGTTACAGGCAAACTCTGTTCCCTAAAATTGATCAAAGGATGGCACACCAACAATGGGTACTTAATTATAACAATGAGAATATGATATTGCCCATACCTTCAATAACAGTTAAATATATCCACTGAAAATATAGCAATGTGGTAAGTTAAACTAACAATCTGGCTGGAAAGACACTAGGCAAGTTTCCCCATAAGATCATCATGTGTACAGTAGAATGAAAGGTACAAATGACCACTCTCAAAAATGCATAATCACAGCAAATGTTGGCTACTCTTATTAGCCCAATAACCCGGGACAGGCACTCATAGGAAGCCCAAGCTAACATATAAGCTTCCACTGTCATGGTAGGCACACACATACCTGACTGAGCAGCTGCCCATGAAATATGGTATTCACCACCTTTAAGACCTGTTTGGTGAGCTTCCTCTGGGAGAAGGGGATGAGGATCCGGCGGGTGGTGCCCTCAGACTCGAGCTCCTGCTGCACTTTGTGGAGCAGCTCGCAGAGAAACTCCTGAGCGTCTTGTTGGTCATAGCCACGGAAGGCAGGGATCAGGCTCCACACTGAGTGAAGCATGGCAAAGGGCGACACTAAGGCCCACTTCCCGGACCACATGACTCGGAAGAGGGTGTGCAGTTCACGGCAGAGGGAAATGTGCTTTGAGCTCGGCTCCTTGTTCTGGATGAGCTCCAGGCTCCGACTGATGGAGGCCCCGCTGTTCCAGCAGAAGCCCTCCCGCTCGCATACCTCGGCCCTGTCACTCCTCAAGGACAGTTCCGTGGCTGAGCTGCTGGTTGGCTTGCCAGAAAGCTGAGTCTTCCCGTTGGTGGCTTTGGGAAACAGATGTTCCGTTTTGGAAGGGTCAAGGTTGAGGAAACATTCTCGGAACTTCTGGAGGTGGCTGAGCACCTGGAGGATGGAGTTCATGTAGCAGGTGTTGCCCAGGTTGCGCAGGCCCGTGACGCCCGGGGCCACAGCAGGCTGGCGACGCAGCTTGAGCGCAGCAGCGGGCGCTCTGCGTGAGGTAGGAAGGGCAGTGGAGCGCGTGGCGGCCGGGCCCGCGTCGCGGGGCGCGTGCAGGAGCAGCCGTGCACTCTTGCGCGGAGGGGCGCTGGCCAGCTCCTCCAGCAGCCGCCGCTTCACCTCGCGCCGCCGTCGCCGTGCCTCCTCCTTCTTGCGCTCCAGCGCCTCCTCCCGCCGCCGCTGCTCCAGCTTCGCCTGGCCCCGGGAGCTCTTCTCGAACCACAGCCGTAGCGTCTTGGCCAGCAGTCGCTGGCGCCGGTACCACAGAGCCGTGAGCATCTGCGGCTGTCCCTGAGGAGTGCGCTGCGGCGGGACCACGTCCTCGCCCGAAGCCGTGGACCGCAGCGTCCGCCCGCGTCTCACCGGCAGGTCCTGCTTCTGGCCCCGGACCGCCAGGAGGGAGCTTCTCAGCAGCTTCAGGTCCCCCTCCGGGTTATCATTGAGCACGTAGTCCTTGCACAGGTAACAGAACACATAGAGATCCCAGACTTCCATGGCTAGCGGGTGTCCAGTCTCCTCAAAGTGTTTCAGGGCGTGGTCCTCAATGTATCGGCCACAGGCCACGTGTGAGCACTTGAGGCAGGCCCACACGGACTCGGTGGTGGCACACTCCAAGCAGCACCACTTCTGAGGGTTCAGGATGGAGTGGTCCTGGGCGAGCCGTAACCGCCCTACATGTTTGCATCTATCCATGTCTTATAGAAGTTGCCACTCTCTCAACCTGGCGTGACAGAGTCCCCAAAAAAGAAAAGGAAAACACTTTCAGAAAAAACATTTTCCTAAAAAAAAAAAAAAAAAAAAAAAAAAGGTTTTAAATTTTTTTTCAACTATAGAATAATTTATTTTCAAATCCAAAATGGTTCTTTTAAAAGTTAAAAAAAAAAAAAAAAAGGCACATTTGGTATAAAGGCGGAGAATTACAGGACAGTTAAATTACTTAAAAAGAAGTATCATATGGAAGGGTTAGCACAAATTTGAAACTTTATGGTGTGTCACATACCAGTAAGAGAGACGAAGAGCCTCAAATAAAAAAAGTCAATTTTAGGTTGGTTGCAATGTAATGCAAAGCAGAGATATGAGGATATAAGGTAAAAATAAGAAAAATAAAGTCCTCAACAGTACAAAGAATCATTTTTATGAGACGTGGTTAAGGAACATGGTATATGTGGGTTTGTTTTGTTTTGAGCCGGAGTCTCACTCTTATTGCCCAGGCTGGAGTGCAGTGGCGCCATCTTGGCGCACTGCAACCTCTGCCTCCCAGGCTCAAGCGACTCTCCTGCCTTAGCCTCCAGAGTAGCTGGGGTTACAGGCGCGCAACACCACACCCACCCAGCTAATTTTTGTATTTTTAGTAGAGATGGGGTTTCACCATGTTGGCCAGGTTGGTCTCAAACTCCTCACCTCAGGTGATCCACCTGCCTCAGCCTCCCAAAGTGCTGAAATTACAGGCATGGGGCACCAGGCTCAGCCTGTTTTTTAGAGGCAGGTCTCACTATGTTGCCCAAACTGGTCTTGAGCTAGCCTCAAGTGATCCTCCTGCCTCAGCCTCCCAAAGTGCTGGGATTACAGGCGTGAGCCACTGCACCCAGCCAACATCTGTCTTTTTGAAAAGCACATCTGCATCTTGCAGTAAGGGTGGGAAAACTTACCTTCTTTCCTGAAAGGATAGGTAAGTAAAGAATTGGACAAATCTGACTTAGGACAAAAGGTAAAGTGGCTACTGGTATTATAATAGTTAACCAAACTACCGAAATAACAACAAAAAGCCAACAAATCTTCCAGATATATATATATATATATATATATATATATATATATATATATATATATATGAAAATGCTTTTTAAAACAGTGGTAACATCCTAAGCATGTTTATTTTTTTCTATTCCCAACAATGCTTCTTCAGTATTGTTCATCAGAGCAGCCTTGTGGGCAATTTCTCCAAGGGAAAGAAGCTATACAACTATTTTAAAAGAAAATTTTTATATCTTTGAAACTTTGAAGGCGTTTTCCCTCAATACCAGAACTTAAAATTCCCTAGGCTAGGTACAGTGGCTTGCACACTTTGGGAGGCTAAGGTGGGAGGATTGCTTGAGGCCAGGAGTTCGAGACCAGCCTGGCCAACACAGACCTCTTTCTACCTATCTACTCTATCTATCTATCTATTTACTTATATATTTATATATTGTGAGACAAGGTCTCACTCTGTCACCCAGGCTGGAGTGCAGTGGTGTGATCTTGTCTCCCTGCAGCCTCTACCTCCTGGGTTCAAGTAATCCTCCCACCTCAGCCTCTAGAGTAGCTGAGACCATAGGTGCATGCCACCATGCCCAGCTAATTTTATTTTTTATAGAGATAGGGTCTATGAGGCTGGGCACAGTGGCTCATGCCTGTAATCCCAGCACTTTGAGAGGCCAGTGCAGGCAGATCATGAGGTAAGGAGTTCCAGACCAGCCTGGCCAACATGGCAAAACCCCATCTCTACTAAAAAAATGCAAAAATTAGCTAGGTATGGTGGCAGGCACCTGTAATTCCAGCTACTCGGGAGGCTGAGGCAGGAGAATTGCTTGAAATCGGGAGGTGGAAGGTGCAGTGAGCCAAGATCTAGCCTGGGCGACAAGAGCAAGACTCCGTCTCAAAAAAAAAATAAAAAGAGGGGGTGTATGTTGCACAGGCTGGTCTTAAACTTAGGGGAACAAGTGATCCTCCTGCCTCAGCTTCCCAAAGTATTAGGATTACAGGTCCGAGCCACCACACCTGGCCTCATCTCTTAAAAGTAATTTAAAAAAAAAAGGCCAGGCGTGGTGGCTCACACCTGTAATCCCAGGACTTTGGGAGTCCAAGGTGGGTGGATCACCTGAGGTCAGGAGTTCGAGACCAGCCTGACCAACATAGTGAAACCCCGTCTCTACTAAAAAAAAAAAAAAAAAAAAATACAAAAATTAGCCGGACGTGGTGGTAGACACCTGTAGTCCCAGCTACTTGGGAGGCTGAGGCAGGAAAATCGCTAGAACCCAGGAGGCGGAGAGTGCAGTAAGCTGAGATCACACCATTGCACTCCAGCCTCAGGGACAGAGTGAGACTCTGTCTCAAAAATAAATAAATAAAAATAAATAAACAAATAAGGCCGGGCACAGTGGCTCATGCCTGTAATTTCACTACTTTGGGAGGCCAAGGCAGGCAGATCACCTGAGGTTGGGAGTTCAAGACCAGCCTGACCAACATGAAGAAACCCCATCTCTTCTAAAAATACAAAAAATCAGCCAGGCATGGTGGCACATGCGTGTAATCCCAGCTACTCGGGAGGCTGAGGCAGGAGAATTGCTTGAACCTGGGAAGCAGAGTTTGCAGTGAGCCGAGACTGCGCCACTGCACTCCAGCCTGGCGACAGGAGCGAAACCCCGTCTCAAAAAAATAAATAAATAATTAATTAAATTCCCTAAAGGTAGTTCCTCTTTCAAAGTTAATTTATTTCACCTCCATTTATTCTCTACTTTTGATTTCTGTGACAAATGCAGTTTCATGATTATGAGATCAACCCAGAAAAGTTCTAAATCCAATGTACTCTGAGTAGCCCCTTTAATTTTCCAGATGCTTTTTTGGGCCTAGTCCTATTTATGTATGCCAAAACCTATAAATAAATAAATATACTGCAGGACCAAATTAGAGATTCTTCCCTTTTTTATTGCCTTTTCCAGATGGCAGAGGCATGTCTTTGTATAAGAAACCCTCAAATCATACAAAGGGACGTGACCTACACTACTCTCAATCAAGCCACATCATGATTTTCTTATTGCTAAGCGCCCTTTAGGTCATTTTTCTGGATGTGTTTACCCACTTTTCTAATGAGATATACAGTAGTCTCCCCTTATACATGGTTTCACTTTCTAAGGTTTCAGTTACCTGTGGTACAGTACAGTAAGATACTCTGAGAAACCACATTCCCATAATTTTTATTACAGTATACAGTTATAATTGTTCTATTTTATTATGTTATTGTTAATCAATTACTATACCTCATTTATAAACTAAGCTTTATCATAGGTATGTATGTACAGGAAAAAAACATAGTATATATAGGGTTTGGTACTATCTGTGGTTTCAGGCATCCACGAGGAGTCTTGAAAAATATCCCCTATGGGGGAATATTGTAATCTTCAGAGAGGAGATTATGTATATTTCTGTTTTTATACCCTTACCCCCTTATAATGCCAAGACTTCTGGGTGCTCAACTCTTGGTGGTCAAAAGCATTCTGTCAGAATTACCTTCTGGCACTGTCTGGAATAGTCCTGAAATAACCATTTTTGCTGACTTTTCTTAGTGCACAGCCAAATCAAAACACACATACATTAAAAAATGGAATGGTAAATAAATGAATTTTCTTTTTGCTACTTAATACCAACTGAGGATGCAAATTGAGTACACAATGATGCTTACAACTAATTCCTGGGGACACAAAAGAAAGTAATGAAGGAATGAAGAGGAGGGAAAAAAAATCAAGATACAGGCAATTCCCAAGTTTCTCACTAATTTAATATTCTTTCAAAATTTAGTCCCTGAACTACCTAGCAACATCTGAATTCCCCAGGCTACTTGTTATATATACAGATTTCTTGCTTACTACTCCAGTCCTGAGGAATCTGAATCTAGAGAGGCTTCTAAAATCTCCAACTTAAACAAGCTGTATAGATGATTCTTTTGCACATTAAAACCTTAGTCCATTAATCCAGTAAATTATATAGGGATGAAAGACTCTTCATAGAAATCAAAGAAAGAATTTTATTTCTCCAATTCTTCCACTTAGACTAATACTGCCCAATAGAACTTTCTGCAATGATATATATCAATGAGAGGGATATCAATATTATAATTTATATATATATATATCTTTATATTCTTTATATATCATTGATCAATCAATATATATCATTGATAATATTGAGAACAGAGAATGTGTACAGATAGATAATTGATATTATCAAATATTATTGATAATATTCTCTATCTATATTTATTACAGTGCTGTCCAGTACTGTAGTAACTAGTCACATGTGACTACTGGGCGCTTGAAATGTGCTAGTGAGACTGAGGGGCTGAACTTTTAATTAATTTTAATTTAAAGTCACATGTGGCTAGTGGCTATGGTATTATATTGAGACAGCACAGACTTACATACACCAGGACACACTATCTTTAGCTTGCTTTGCTGTTCTTTTTGTTTTCTTTCCTTTGAAAGATTTGGTACTAGCTAAATTGTATCTGAATAGCCTCCTCTTGTAACTTAAAACCTGATGCCTGGCAGATCCCCATTTTAGCTTTGATGTGTCTTCAGGAATTTAATTGCTACCAAGATCTTATCATATGAAATACAGCAGAGCTTCAAATCCTACAAAGAGAGAATTATTTCTGTAAATAGGAATATAGCAACACCGCACCCAGAACACTGATGCCTTGCAAAATCAACTCCTGTGCTAAAAAATATGCTGGAACAACCAAAAGCCAAAAGAGACGAACACTAAAAAACCATTCCACATCCTCTCCATGGAGAGCTGTCAAATGAAAAGGGCACTCTGGAAATTCTTTCTTCTGATTTCATTTTCTGATCTATAAATCTGCTGATCACGCACATCCTCTCCTGCACAGCCCTTTTCCCATTACAAATCTGTCGTGGCGGCTCACTAACCTGCCATATGGGCAGAGTAAATCCATTCAGGAAAACA